TGGAAGAGATTCAATATATAGGACAATACCCAAAAATTTGACAATAATAGGACAATAATTTGAGTCTGTTTAGAGAAAAAAAAAATCCTTAAAAACTACTTAAAAAGTAAGGTTAAAAACTTTATGTGGCATCTCAACATAGAGACGGAGATTTATATGATTATTTTCAACATAAAAACCATGTTTATCCACCAGCAATATTTAAATATGGAAAACTCCGTAAAACTAATAAATCGGATCATCTTAAATGCCTTGAAGAATACTAGGTACATTCTTTGAATTCTCCTGAGACTTTCACTGCAAAAGTCTTATATGGAAGAGCCATTGTTCATATACTTCATCTAGAAATTTTGAAGACATTGAAGGAGTATTCAGAAATTGAATTCCTAGAAGAAAAAAAATATATCATCAGCAAAACATAAGGAAATAGAATTACAAAAACACAAGGAAAAAGATAATTAAAAAAACATAAGGAAAAAGAATAGGGACATTCGTGGTAATGGAGTGAGAGTGTATGTTTCTGATTCAACTCCTTTTTAGAAAAATTGATCACAGTTTTTACGATTGGGTAAAAACAAAAATGCTTGCAGCAAACTTTGCACAAGTACCGACTTATAATAATGATGAAACTGTTATATCCAATTCCAAAGATTTTAACGAAAAATCTCATCTTGTAACCTCGAGGAAGCTAGCACTCGGATTTTGTTACATGTTAAAAACGCCGTTGACAATGGGCACCAAGACAGAAAAAAAAAAGTCACGACAGAGCGAGGGCTTACCACCAACAAAAGATGCACTCTTTCAGCATTTAAAAAGAGCTGTGTTTCAAGGTAGGCATTTTTTTAGTATTTGAATAGACTTATCAAAACAATTCAAATAAATTATATTTTAAAAAATATATTTACGTTGAAATTTTTATTTAGTATCATATGGGGATATCAATTCTTGGTGCCACAACAGATTTTCATGGCGTTAATTTTTGTTCAAAAATCTCCCGAATGCCAGTTTGCGCGTGTTTTCACACTTACTGTCATAGTAAGTAGAATATATGTAAAAATAACATTAAAATTTTAAAAAAACCAATCAATATCAGAAATTTTTGCGAGTGGTTTCTATCAGTACAGACATTTTGCGCTAAACTTGAATTTTATTTATAAGAAAGCAAATCCTATGTTTATGTATCTCATCCTACCATTTTGAAAATTATATCTTGAGATTATACTTTTACATTGATAACATAATATCAAATTGATATTTGCAGAAAAATATTACAAAAATTGAACACTGTAATTATAATTGTACTTCTGAATAAAAATTAATTATTAAAAAACTAAAAATCTATATGTAAAATAATTTTTTAAACTTAAAATTTTGTAAACACTAAAATTTAAATCCAAAAATCTTCAAAAATAATTTAAAGAAATTATGAAATACAAGTAATCTGATTATTTATGAAATACAAGTAATCTGAAGTCGTCAAGTACAGCCTGCCAATACCTAAAAAACAAAAATAAAAAATTACTACTGTCCTATCAATTTATCATATATGTTTTATTTTCATTCAATTTGTAAATTCTATTTTATAAATCTACACACACTGTAATTTGCATAGCCTTTTGAACAGCCAAGCTTAATGTGTATTGTGGATTAAATAAGTAACCTTAACTTAATCTTAAACCAATAGAATAATTTATTCTTAAACCAATATAATAATTTAACGGAAAAAACACAAAAAAAACTTGACGTTAAATTTGTGTTAATAAGGTGTTAAAAGTTCAAAAAGTTCAGAGATCAGGAGGTAATCCACTGGTATTTAGGGTGGTAGCCCTCCTATCAAAGACCAACTCATCATTGTTCAAAAGTTCAGAGATCAGGAGGTAATCCACTGGTATTTAGGGTAGTAGCCCTCCTATTAAAGACCAACTCATCATTGTTAGAGATATAAATACAAAGAAAAACTAACATGGAAATGGATTTTTTAAAGCAGGAAAATTGGCCAAGTTTAGGACCAGGAAATCATACGGGCTCTAAAATCTTACATGATTGGTGTGGTAAAATTTCGAAAGTTTTGTTATTTCTTAATACCAAAATACAGACAAATGAATTAGAGTATTTGAGACATCTTGAGATAGAGTTAGAAAAAAATAAAGCACTTGAGAAAAAAATATTAAAAATTGAAAATGACTGTCTGCAAAAAGGGTTAGAAACACGTATTGTGGTACTAGAGGATGAAAAAGACTCTCGAGAATCATTGCCAAAACAATTGTACTTAGATGCTATAACAAGTAAAAATTGGTCTACCTCTTCTTCTAAAACGAAATCCCCAGTTGAACAATTAATTGTTGTAAATGCAGCTATTAATGAGCAAAAAAATAGAGAAAAAAGAAGAAAAAATATTATTATCCATTGTCTTCCTGCATCTAAAAAAGCTACATTGCAAGAACAACATGAGGAGGATAAAGAACAAATTAATAAACTATTTCATGAAATAAATGTAGAAATCGTCCCAACATTCCAAAAAAGGCTAAATACAAAACAAACTGGAAAACCGGGACCAGTATTAGTGATTTTAAATGAAGATTCTGAGAGAAATCCAATTTTAGCAAAATCTAAATTATTAAGAGAAAAGCAAGATTACAAGGTTTTTATTTCGCCTGATTTAACTGAAGCAGAGAGAATGGAAAACTATGAGCTTAGAAAGAAACGTGACAAAATGAATGGTGAAAGAATAGCAAACTCTCCCTTTAGATATGCGATCCGTGGAAATGGAATTGTCAAATTTAAAATACAACTTAACACAACAACATAAAAAATTAGTAAGTTTGTTATCATTTAAAGTTTTATATACGAATGCAACATCTTTAGTAAACAAAGTTGAAGAATTTAAAATCTTATGCAGTTTTAAAAATCCTCAAATAATTGCTATTACAGAAACCTGGTTTAATGAGACATCGGAAATTTATTTGGAAGGATATTCTTTGTACAAACGAAATAGGGGGGATGGGCGTAGAGGAGGAGGGGTTGCGCTATATATAGATAGCAACCTAATATCTTATGAGGTAAACGAAGGTATATTAAATAGAAGTAAAATTGAACAAATATGAATCATTATAGTTGCAAATGATAAAAAATATTTAATTGGTTGCGTGTACAGACCAAGCGAACAAGTAGATACGCTTGAAATGAGTCAAATATTCACAGAAGCTTGTAAATTAGTAGAAAAAAATAGTTTTGCAGATTTGTTAATTATTGGTGATTTTAATTTTCTAAATGTAAAATGGTCGAATGGATACGTTAGTGATATTTTAGTAGGTGAAGATTCTGTTGAAAATGAATTTATTAATATTATATATGAATGTTTTTTGTACCAACACGTATCAATCCCAACCTTTCAAAATGCACAATATGTTACAAAAAATACCTTGGATCTTATTTTTACAAAAAACAATGAACAAGTATATCAACTTGAGTCTAACCTAGTTCTAGGAAATATAAATCATGGACATTTGGTTTTAACTTGTAAATTTAACCTTGATGCTATTGCAATGGAAAATTATCAAAAGTATAAATTTGATTACAGTAGATGTGACTATCCACAAATAAGCCTAAGTATTGATAAAACTGACTGGAATTATTTATTTGATGGGTTATCAGTTCAATATATGTATGATCTGTTTATTGAAAAAATTAGTCAATCATGTAATGCTTTTATTCCAATAATTGACGTAAATTCAAGAAAGAAAAGAAAAAATAATCCATGGTTTACTGATGAAGTAAGTCTTCTAGTACGCTCAAAACAAAATTTGCGTTATCAAAATTTATCATCGAATTTGAATAAAGTAATGAAATATAAAAATATTTGCAAAACTGTGAAAATAGAATCGCGTAAAGCAAGATGTTACTATGAAAATGATCTTGTTGAAAAATCAAAGGTAAATCCGAAACTGCTATATAAATTTGAATAGTCAAAAAACGATTAAACAAGTAATTAAAGCATTGAGAGATCAAACTGGTTGCATAACAAATGATCAAAATGAAATAGTTGAAATTTTAAATAAACAATTTCAAGATGTGTTTACCATCAAAAATTCTACAGAAGAGCTTCCACAAATTGAGAATTTAGGGGATATTATTATTGATGCAGTTAATATAGATTATTTTGATGTTTTAATTAGATTGAAAAATGTTGATATCAATAAAACATATGGAGTTGATTCTATACATCCGTTGATTTTGAAAAATTGTGTGGATTCTGTAGCATTGCCATTAACTTTAATTTTTATAGAATCTTTTGTTAAAAGTGAACTACCAACTCAATGGAGAGCAGCAAATATTACACCACTATTCAAAAAGGGAGATAAATTAGAAGCTGCAAATTATAGACCAGTGTCATTGACGTCAATTACTTGTAAAATTATGGAAGGTATAGTCAGAGACTGCATACAATCATATTTAATGAAATATAAATTAATATCGAAGTCACAACATGGTTTTGTTAAAGGTAAGTCTTGTACAACAAACTTATTAGAGGCGTTGGATTATATTTCATTTAATTTATCGATTGGTATTTCGGTAGATGAAGCACTTTTAGATTTTGTTAAAGCTTTTGATTCTGTTGCTCACAAAAGACTATTGATTAAACTATCTTTATATGGAATTAGTGAATGAATTATGGATTGAAGTGAATGAATTATGGATTGAAGCTTTTTTAAAAAACAGAATCCAAAGAGTTATCCTAGGTGATGTAGATTCTTCATGGCGCAAAGTCTTCAGTGGTGTTCCGCAAGGATCCGTAATAGGGCCCTTATTATTTGTTATTTTTATTAATGATATATCAAATATATTTAAAAAATAAGTCAGTATTGTATGCAGATGATACAAAAATTCTTTCAAAAGTGAATGAAATAAATGTGGAAAATAGCTTGCAAAAAGATCTGGATAGTGCAGAGTAATGGTCTAAAAAGTGGCTCTTGGGTTTTAATTCTAGTAAATGTGTTATAATGCATTATGGTACAAATAATCCACGATTGAAATATACTTTAAATAGTGTTGAACTGAAAGATTCTGAATGCGAGAGAGATTTAGGTGTATATTTTTCAACAAACTTGAAATGGAAAAAAATTATATTAAGTACTTCTAAAGCAAATTCAATGGTGGGTATGTTAAAGATGACATTTTCACGAATTGATGGAAAATTGGTTAAAACATTGTATAAGGTATTTATTAGACCTCTTATTGAGTTTGCAGTACCTGTTTGGTCACCTTATTTTAAAGGAGACATATCACTTTTGGAAAAAGTTCAACACAGGATGACTAGATTAGTTCCATCATTAAGGAAAATTAGTTATGAAAAGAGATTGGAAATATTAGATATATCTACATTGAAAACAAGGAGAGAACGTGAGGATTTAATACAAGTGTTTAAGTTGCTTAACAGATTTGAGGAAATTGATTTAATTAATGAACCGAAGCTTAAAATTGATTCAATTACTTAAGGTCACAATCTTAAATATGAAAGAGAAATTGTGAACTATTTACCTCGGCATCATTTTTTATTAAATCGTACGGCCAATTTATGGAATGCTTTACCGGAAACTGTTGTTACTTCGAAAACTGTCAATCAATTAAAGAATGGATTAGATGAGTATAACGCCAAATCAAAGAAGTTTTAACTAAACATTTTTAATATATATTTGGATTAATGCTGTCAAAGTGTGATAAACCACACTCGCTGGAATCAACCAGTTACAGTTTAACTACTAACTAACTAACCTTAACCAATAGAACTACTATATACATCTACACCTTAATTTATTAAGAAAAAAAAAAAGCATAACATTAGGAAAGATGCTATCTTATTGATATTTTTTTACAGGATATATTTACAAAAACTAATAGAAATAAATTATTTTCATATTTTGAATATCTTTTCTTTTTTATAAAGGTTATATAAAAAATATCTTGAAATTATATAAATAAAATCTAAGTCTAAAAAAATATAATTTCTAAAATTGAGATATAACCAAAATGCAAAAGGATTTTTAGAAATAAAATGAAACCAAAAAATTTGTTGCTTGTACATTCTTTTTGATGTTTGTCCGCATAATAAAAAGCCATAAAACTGAGCAACCGTGTAAGTCATTACATCCCTGATACCTATTTTGAAATTCACAATTCTTGAAGTAATCTCTTGTAACACAAAAATCCTAAGTCCTTTTAATACTCGGCATCCCTGCATGGATCATGGAAATTTACTTAGATAACCTTAACACAAACATCAAGGTTTTAAATAAACTGATACCTTATATCAGATTACAATAACCTCATAAAAAGTATATTGGATACCTTGTATCAGATGTTTATCAAATTTAAAAAACAAACTACAAATTGTTTTGGTTTTTGAACATGCAACATATAAATGGATATTAATGACTATAAATGAGAGAAACACAGTTTTTCAAGATATACACCAACATTTGTATGAAAAATTAATAATATAAAACATTTAAATCTGTAAAAATAGAAAACTTGTGAACACTTCAGTTCATTACTTATTTAATTTAACAAAAAGCTGTTTGAACATACTAATTAAAATTTCTAAAATACTTTTTTGTAGCTGCTTATACATTTTATTCACAGTAGTACCAGTCTTTACATTCTGGGAGGTCTTTCAATAATAAAACTGTTGTAATCAATAATAAACTTGTTTATCAAGTTAATAATAAGTTAATAAAATGTAACCAAGATAATATTTATCCTCCATAAAAATATTGAATGAAGTTACAGTACAAGTATAAAAAAAATGCAGAATAAAATCCAGACAAATTTCAAATTTAATGAACATAACTTTGAAATTCATAAATACGAAGTAAAACAGAAAACAAAACAAAAATATAACAGTAAAAACAATTAATAAAAAAACAATAAAACTTGGAACTTCAAAAACTTTTAAGCTATTTTTTTTCTCACAAAGCCTGCTTACCTTATAAAATTAAAGTAATATTTAGTGTTTAAATATTCTAATAACATAATAATGTAGAATAAACATAAACTTACTTCATAATATGTTCTAAATATATTTCTCGATTAAACACGGACAACAGCCTCACACGCTGCAAGTTAAGATATTTGTAAACATTTTTTCATACTGTTTTATATATATATATATTTATACCTAATAATAAATATTATTTTTAAGAAATATATTTTATCAAATATAAAATTAAAAAAAAAAAAATTTAATATCAAGCGACAAATAAATAAAAATTGTATAACGTTTACATTTAACATTCAAGATAATCTCTTAAAAATAGTTTGTTTGTTTTTTAATAAAAAAAATTTTTTAAATGGCTGCCAGTTTCCTGAAAATTAGTTAAAAAGTCACATAGAAACATCAGAGATAAACTCATACTCATCTTTTACTTTATTTATGAAAAAATTCCATAAATGTGCCTTAGTGTGTTAGGTCCATATTTACTTAGAGATTTTAAAGTTAATTCATTTTAGGTTTTAAAACTTTTTGAAAATCAAAAATGTCAATTTTTACAAGAAAAAATAAGATATCTTAAGATATATTTGTTAACTTTCAAAATTTCAAGCTAAAAAAAAAGATATTAATGCAAGTATCAATATCAAATGTAAAGAAGAGTTAACATAGTGGTTTATCGAGCATCTTTTTGTTGACTTATTTATTATGATTAAAATAATACGAAGAATGTGTAAAAATACATATATTCTTCCATGAACAAAAAATATAACTTCTACTTCAAAATATTAACGAAATAAAACAATTAACTTTTAACCAATTATGCCATGATCCTTGGTTACTAAACTGCATATTTTAGTGTAGACTGAATCAAACGTAAAAATATTACATTATAAGTTTTAATGTCGCGCAAACAATTCGCGCTAAAAGATTTTTGGTCAAAAATTAACACCATGTTTACCTGACATTACTAAATGGGGTTGGAGAAAAATAAATAACGCAATGATACCTTTATAGATTACTCTACCCAAGGCATCAAAATCATGCATTGAATTGATAAAATGTGCATACAAAAAGGTTGCGGAACATAATGCAAAAGTACACGTTTAAGATTAGGCTGCACAGAGCTATGCGAGTGTTCTGGTCAGTGTTTAAAAGAAATTTGAAAAACCCTCAAAAAACTGGTTTTATTAAAATCTTCATCCGTAGGATAAATTTGAAATTTATTCTGTTATCCACCTCTTTTTATACCTTGTTTTATATCTTTAACCTTATTTTACTATATAATATGATATAGTTGTTTACTTGAAATAGATTCTTCTTTAAATTTAGCTTTAAATTTACTCAACCTTAAATCGTCAGTTTTGAAAATTATATTGTTTTTTACCGTCAACTTTAGTGTTGTGACCAAAACTAAAAATTGAAACTAACTAAACTAAAAAAACCGTAACTAAAATTAGTCGAATAATTTTTTAGTTAACTAAAATTACCCGACTAACTTTTTTATCTAACTAAAATTTGTCGACTAACTTTTTAGTTAAATAAAATTAACCGATTAAGTTTTTAGTTAACTAAATATATCTGACTTTGTTTTTAGTCCAGCTAAAGAAATTTATAAATATATAATATGAATTATTTGGGTTCATGATATCATTTCTATTAGAATTTTTGAATAAGTTTGCTAATGCATAATCATTTTACCGCATAATACCGCAAATATAAAAAAATTTTTTTTCAATTTTTAATGCCGAAGGTTTGACGAGATATTTCAAGAAAATATTTAATAAAAATTCAAAAAGTAAACATGGTAAAACGCGAATATCTTTAAAATTGAATAAGCTACCAAGGCCAGCGCAAAGGGATGAGGGGATGGGGTGGTTGGTTTTTTGTGTGACATCCCATCAATGAACTTTAAGCACAGTTAGTGACAAAATAATAAGTTTAGATTTAAAAAAAGAAACTAGTGGTTATATAAAATTGAGCAGTAAATGTTCTTGAGTGTGCGGTTTTATCATAATGTTGCCTAAAACTGCAAATTTTTTTTTTTACCTTCTTTATTTTAATAGTTTGATTTTTTTTTTTTTTTTAATATTTATTTATATATTCTATAGTATTTTTTCTAACAACGAGTTTACATGTATTTTAAAGTGCTTAAAAACTACGTATTGCATTTTTCAAGTAATTAAAATGTTATAAACAATTTCCTGGTTATAAAAGCGACCGCAGTTACTTAATAAAATGTTTTCATTATTTAGCAGTTAAGTATTATTTAATACATTTTATACTCTATTCAACAGCTTTTATTGCGGAAATTGCAATTTAAAACGAAAATTCCAATCTTCCTAATGAATTTTGCAACCGACACTCAACTATACTCTGAAAGCAATAAATATATTCATAATAATTTATTTAACGATTACCTTTTGGGTTTATGTCAATATTTTTGCTTGCCTAACTGAAGTATTTGCGAGTTGTAATAGTCGGGAGAGAAGACGCAACAATAAATGTTCGTATATTACGTATTATATTTGTGGTGGTGGTTACGTTAACATTACAATAGGTTTGGGGAGGGTTAATATAGGAAGGGAATTTAATGTCCATTTATAATTTTTAAGTGAACACAATATTTTTGTATCTTCTGTATTTGGAAGAACTAGAATGCCAAATGTTTCAACTGCATCGTTTCTAATTTTTTTTTTACTGTATTTTTCCATCTATGTATTTTTGAAATGCGATGGTTATTGCACACTACTTATAGGATGCAGCACATAAAAAATATAAGTTAAACGTTCAATAAGCGTACCAAATTTGATTTAACTGACTAAAGGGCAATATTTATACATTCCATGCTGATTGGGTGTTTATAAACAGTTGCCACAACCTCAAAGACAGTTGTCTCCAAGCTGGGAAAAAATAAAAATAATCGAATTTCGCTTAAAACATTTTTTTTGAATAACAGTTTAGTTCGACGGGGCTCTAGGATTCACAATTAGTAAAGTGTTTAATTACGATATAATAATATCCTTCGTTTTAATAAAGCTTCCTCATGTGTAAAATATTTTACGAAAGATTATTTCTTTTTTCAAGCACAAAATCTTGCTTTAGTCGACTAAATTTAGTTACACTAAATCTTTAGTCGACTAATTTGAGTTAACTAAAAGTTAGTCGACTAATTTGAGTTAGACTAAAAAGTTACCTAGTGGGAAAAAAGACATCTTTAGAAGAATTAAAGGCGTCTTTTATATGACTTGTTATGTCTTTTTATAATTAGCCAAAACAAAGACGTGGAAAGACGTCTTTTAAAAAGACGTCTTCAAAAAAGATGTCGAAAAGACGTCAATCGGTTGTTAATAAGGAAATCATTAATTATCCGTTTTTTCACGGGAACGGGATAGGAAAAGGAAAAATAATCACATGAGCATGCGTAGTTTTCCTTCGAATATATTAAAACTTATACTACGCATGCCCACGTGATTATTTTTACTGTCCCTTTCCCGTTTCCGTGAAAAA